CAGCTCTGGTCTGAAGGCACTAGGTGACTGGTGCCATCCTTCAAGACAGGAAGCCAGAGGAAGGCTGGGTTAATGAGAGGAGGGGACGAAGATGGTCTTGGCCGGGTTGAGGTTGAGAACTACGTGGGGTATCCTGTGGTTTTCTAAACAGGAACTAGGCAGGAGACTGTAGGGCCATTATCTTTCCCCAAGACCTGCTTCCCCTCCACGTTCCCTGCTGTTGCCTTGTCCACCTAGATACGCAGTGTAGGCCAGAGCCTGGTTGGTGACTTCATGACGGGGCTGAGGCCTGCTCAGTCTCCAGGGGCTCAGGGTCCCTGCTCTCCCAACACCACTCCTGGCCTTCTTCACTCGAGGGTCCCACCCCCTGGCTGCTCTTTCTCAGCCTCCTCTCAGGTGCCCTGGCTTCTGCCTGTGGCCCATCAAATGTCACTTCTGTCCCGGGTGTTCTCCACTCCTGGTGGCCAGTTCCCTCTTCATCCTGCTGACTTCCTGCCTTGTAGGCTCCAGGCCCACGGCATGGCCGTCTCTCAGGAACTCCCACTCAGCATGGGAAGGCAGACAACTCTGACTAGGAAGTCCCTAACACGCCTCCCTCACCCACTTCAGCTGCCCTGTTCTACCTGTTTCCTCTGCCCACGTCACTCTCTCCCTTGAGGCCTGCCAGGCAGTCAGATCTCAGTTGAAGTGTATCCTGCCAAGTTGGATACACTTCCCCTTCTCTGGCTTCTCATTTCTCTCAATGAAAAGCCCAAATCCGTACAGAGGCTCTCTGTGAGGCCTCGTTCCCTGCATTCCCCTCCTTGCATCCACTACTCCAGCCCCATGGGTCCCTTGATGCTCTTCAGCGGTGCCTCTCTACACCCTGGCCTTTGCATTTGCTGTTCCATCTGGAATGCTCTTCCCCCAGATAGCCACGTGGCATCCTCTTGCTCTCCTTCAGGTCTTTGTTCACATGTCAGCTTCTTCGTGAGGCCCTTTCTGAAATGTCCAGACCCCCACTCCCCATCCTCCTGCATTTATCACTACCTCACTCACCCATAGGGTTTCACTCTTTATCTTGGGTGTTGCCCATTTCCTCTGACTAATGTAAGTTCCAAGAGAGTAGGGGTTTGTGTTTGTTTTATTTTCAGATAAATCCCCAGTACCTAGAATAGTGCCTGGTGCATGGAGGCACTCAGTAAGCACCTCTGGAATGAATGTCTCAACGCAAACGTTGCTTCCTTGGGAGCCTTCCCTGAGTCCCATGTGCATCTCTGCTTTGACACCTCGGCTACAACAATTCTGGTGTCACTGCGTGTTCGCTGGGTGCCCCCACTCTGAGAAACGCTCGGGGTCAGAGATGAGATCGAGTTTTTCACAATGTAGTACTGTCCGTAGCCCAGTGTTTGGCACACAGTAGGTGCTCTGTTAATGGATGTGGGAGGAAAACATTCATGAGCACCTACTGAGTGAGGCCCCTTCATATCTGTGCTCATACATACCCAAGAGTTGGAATTTGGAAATGGGCTTATTCTCTTCAAATAGACCTTGACCCTGTGGAATGGCATAATTGAGAACAATTCAGGAGCCCTGAACAAATGCACTTTGATCTCCATCTCACACTACTCCTGTGTATCCAGCTGTCATCTCATTCTCTCCCCCAGGACATCCCACAGACACGCCCAGCCCTGGTGGCCTTCCACACCGTGACATGCTCCCCTCCTGGGATCCCTGCCACAGGGAATGACACCTTTCGTCCATCCATCCATGCTCAGGACAGAAACCTGCAGTTCATACCTGTAGATTTTACGTTCTAAATATCTGTCAAAGAAGTCCTCTCCCACCTTCCCATGGCCTTAGCACAGATCTCATCTGGACTTACCTGGACTTAGGCAACTATGGCCTCCCCACAGCATCCTGCCCCTTACCTGACTCAGACCTCCTCTGTGCCACAGACACAGCAATCTTTCTAAAATTCCCACTCAATCCCATTTCTTCACTACCTTTGATCCTTAAGGTGAAGTGGGATGTAGAGGAGAACTTAGCATTTGCTGGGTGTCTACCACATGCCAGTCACTGGTGAATGCTAGGCCCTGTCACATTCATTGTCCCGTTGAGTTATCATAACAAACCGTTGTGTAGAGAAGTGAAAGGACTCTTAGGGAAACAAATTGCCCAGGGTCACGTGGCCTGGAAATTGTGGAGCCTGAATTTAGATCTTGATTTTTTGACCTTAAAATCCATTTTCTTTCCAATGTACTCCTCTGTGCCCATTGTTCTCTGTCATGCTGCTCCTACATTTCCAGTACCATGGCCCATTATTCCTCTCTATGATAAACCTTCTAGAGCTACTTATCTTAGACATGCCTTTTGCTTTCATGTTTCTGTGCTTATGATATTTGGGTCCCTCTTCTCTTAAATACCTTGCCCTTTCTTCTCTAGCTAGTGAACTCCTATTCATCCTTCAAAACCCAACTCTAATAGCACCTCCTCTGTTAAGCTTTCCCAAATTGACTTACCCAAACAAAGTAATTGTTGCTTTACCTATATCCTCAAAGTGTGAATTGTACTCCTGGGAGACAGAAGAGTATATTGGTTAAGAGCATAGGCCCTAGAATCAGACCCTAGGGCTTAGGAGTCCAGTTCCTTTAATCACTATGAGCTATGTCACCTTTAGCAAATACCTGAATCCCTTTGTGCCTTGGTTTTCTTACCGATAAAATTGGAATGATATTCTATAGGGTCATAGTAAGGGTTACTGTGAAATACACAGAGTAGTTAGAATAGTACCTGTTGTGGTATGTGCTCAATAAACATTAGCACATACATTAAACATTTATTATTATCACTCTGCTGCCTCTGATACCATAGTACCTGTTGTGGTATGTGCTCAATAAACATTAGCGTTTATTATTATCACTCTGCTGCCTCTGATACTCGGTGGAACTCTGATACTACATTTTTCCTTTCTTTCTGAGTTAGTCCATATCTTTAATAGCACATGCTAAGTGTATTGTGATCACTTTCATATAGGCTCCAGGAGGGCAGGTTGCCCAGCGAGTAAGCAGCAGGGGAAGGATTCAAACTGAGGTCTACAATAATTCCAAAGCCAATGCTCTCAGCTGTCATATGTGAGAACATGTTCCTCAGATCATTTTTTCTGAATATCAAGTCTCAGCTGGGAGCAGCAAGATGACACCAGGTGACACTGCAGGAATAGGTAAAACATGGTCCCCACCCTTGGGGACTCCTAGCGGAGCTCAGATTCAGAGTGGAAGACAGATAAGTGAACAGGCCATTCAAACAGTGTGAGCCCTAGCCGTTTTGGCTCAGTGGGTAGAGCATTGGCCTGCAAACCAAAGGGTCCTGGGTTCAATTCCGGTCAAGGGCACGTACCTTGGTTGCAGGTTCCTCCCTGGCCAGGGCCCTGGTCGGGGCACATGCAGGAGGCAACCAATCGATGTGTTTCTCTCACATTAATGTTTTCATTTTTCCCTCTCCCACTCTCTCTAAAAATCAATGGGAAAATATCCTCGGATGAGGATTAAAAAAAAATTATAAGAACAAACAGTGTTAAGTATCACGTCTGAAGTCGGACACATTGCTGAGGGAGCCCAGAGGAGAGAGCAGTTTCTAAAAGCTTGGGCAAAAAAGGCTTTCTCATAGGTGGCCTTGTAGTTGGGTCTTAACACATGAGAATAGTGGCTCTGGACAAAGGACACCCGTGGCAGAGGGAATGGTCTGACGAAGGGCAGGAGGTCTGAATGTGTGCAGTGCTGACACAGAGCTGGCCTGGGGGCAAAGGGCAGGAGGTGAGATTGCAGATGTGCAGCCAGCCAGGCTGTGATGGGCCGGGGATGCCCTTTGACTTCCGCCCCAAGGAGAAGGGTGAGTTTTTGTTTTGTTCCATTACATCTGAGGTCTACTAAGATCTGGGGGGAAGAACCATCCTATTCACCACAGTTGTGAATACAGAAATAAATGTGACAGCTGATTTCGAGCATTGGCCTGCAAACCAAAGGGTCCTGGGTTCAATTCCGGTCAAGGGCACGTACCTTGGTTGCAGGTTCCTCCCTGGCCAGGGCCCTGGTCGGGGCACATGCAGGAGGCAACCAATCGATGTGTTTCTCTCACATTAATGTTTTCATTTTTCCCTCTCCCACTCTCTCTAAAAATCAATGGGAAAATATCCTCGGATGAGGATTAAAAAAAAATTATAAGAACAAACAGTGTTAAGTATCACGTCTGAAGTCGGACACATTGCTGAGGGAGCCCAGAGGAGAGAGCAGTTTCTAAAAGCTTGGGCAAAAAAGGCTTTCTCATAGGTGGCCTTGTAGTTGGGTCTTAACACATGAGAATAGTGGCTCTGGACAAAGGACACCCGTGGCAGAGGGAATGGTCTGACGAAGGGCAGGAGGTCTGAATGTGTGCAGTGCTGACACAGAGCTGGCCTGGGGGCAAAGGGCAGGAGGTGAGATTGCAGATGTCCAGCCAGCCAGGCTGTGATGGGCCGGGGATGACCTTTGACTTCCGCCCCAAGGAGAAGGGTTGAGTTTTTGTTTTGTTCTATTACATCTGAGGTCTACTAAGATCTGGGGGGAAGAACCATCCTATTCACCACAGTTGTGAATACAGAAATAAATGTGACAGCTGATTTCGACGTCATCCTGGAGCAGTGTGGTGTAGTAGTTAAGAATGTGCTCTGAAGGGCAGAGTTCAAATCCCAGCTCCTCGGCTGTGTGACCACGGACAGGTTGCTTAACCTCTATGTGCCTGGTTTTTTCATCTGCTCAGTAAGAACACTGATATCTAAAATTCTCAGAACAGCGCCTGGCACATGGTAAGGGCCATGGAAGGGTCGGTATCATTATCATTAGGCCAATTCAGACTGGGATCTCGGCCCATCCTGTCTGTACATCAAGTTTCAGGACCGTCTGCTTCTCACCATGAAGTGCACAATGAGTACTGGGCCTGCAAACAGGACCAACTCACGTGAGCCTCTTGCCTCTTGCCCACAGCGGATGATGCCTGTGGCGGGACCCTGAGGGGCCAGAGCGGCATCATCTCCAGCCCCCACTTCCCCGCGGAGTACCACAACAATGCCGATTGCACATGGACCATCCTGGCCGAGCTGGGAGACACCATCGCTCTGGTCTTCATTGACTTCCAGCTTGAGGACGGTTATGACTTCCTGGAAGTCACGGGGACCGAAGGCTCCTCCCTCTGGTAAGCACCATGCCCACCCCTGCCCTGCCCTGCCCTGCCCTGGGGGCTGGGCCTTACTGCGATGCAATCTCCTCAGCACCTGGACCTGCAGCCCAGGGCTGGGCCCCTTTGCCACTTCTCCCACCCACCATGGGAAAATTTTCCTCTCATTACAATGAGACATCACTGCATATTTTTAGAGCCCAGGTAAATTTACAGTAATTTTGGTACCTGATTTGAAGCATGTCCTGCTGAAGAATTTCATGATGGGTTTTGATCAAAGTAACTTGCATTAAGACTAGAAATGTTCTGCTCTCAGGATGTGGACAGGGTCTTGGGGAAATGATTTGAAATATTGTTCCATTTCTGGGAGACATATTTATAGCGTCCAACAAAGGGAATAGAACCTTAGGTGGCAATTGCTCTTCCCTCTCCCTGGGCCCTGAGAGAGGAAAGGTGTTAGGTCTGGGTTTCTGAAGGGAAGGGTCAATCTGCTCCCTGTGGCTCTAGTTTTACTAAAAAGCGCCGCTTTCCTGTGTTGTGCCCATCAGCCCTGGAGACCCTTGATGCTGACAGGCCGGAGGAGAGTGGTGATGAAGACTTACCGGCCTTAGTTGATTTTAGTCTTACTAGTGGCCCGGTGCACGAAATTCGTGCACATTAAAAAGGGGATTAATTAGAGGAAATATTTTAATATTGCTATTTTCCCTTTCTCTATAATAGAAATGTCAGAGATGAAAGAAAATTAGTAAAATATATATGATAATCTTCCTCCTGTCAGAGTCTGGGGCACACCACAGGACCCAGAGTCAAGTCCCCACCCACCCACATGCGCCTCAGAATCGCGTCAGACCCAGACCCGGCCAGCCCCCCTCCATTGGGCTAGATCCAGACCCGACCGGTCCCACCCTTGTCAAGCCCTGCCAGGCAGGGGGGCGCAGCCTCAGGTCCCCTGGCCCTGTGCCGGGACGGGGGGCGCGTCCTGAGGTCCCCCGTCAAGCCCTGCCGTGGCCTGAGATCCCCTGTCAAGCCCTTCTGGGCGGGGGGCACAGCCTCAGGTCCCCTGTCAAGCCCTGCCAGGCAGGGGGCATGGACTCAGGTCCCCTGGCCTGGTGCCGGGGCAGGGGGCATGGCCTCAGGTCCCCAGTCAAGCCCTGTTGGGTCGGGGGCATGGCCTGAGGTCCCCTGGCCTGGCGCCAAGGTAGGAGGCATGGCCTGAGGTCCCCCGTCAAGCTCCGGGGAGGGGAGGTGGGGTGCAGCCTCATGTCCCTGCTGATTGCTTAGGGAACTTGGCCTCCACTGTGGGTGCAGCCATCTTGTGTATGGAAACCCCTGCCTCTGCTGTGGGCACAGCCATCTTTGTGGCGGAGTGTTGGTTAGTTTGCATATTCCTTCTTTATTATATAGGATAGATTTGGACACAAGGGACATGCCAGTCTGAGGTTGGCTTCAGGAAGGATCCAGCTTCCTGCTTGGGTGACAAGCCTTGGGGTGATGGTGGGGCGTTTTGAATGCTCTCTCGTGTTATTCTTGTGGCTGTGTTATGCGGGCATCGGGGGCCTATGTCAGCACATAAGGAGCCAATAGAAGGATGTGTCCAGATGTGCTCCAGACAAGATGGGAATCTTTGCAGACAAGATGGATCTCAGACAAGATGGGCATCTTTGCAGCCTTCCCCTTTGCACAGAGTCAGGGGAAGGCAGGGCACGGTGCCCTCGGATGAGGGCAGGGGGTGTGTCATGAGGGCGCTGAGTGAAGCAGGAAGTGGGTATCTGGCAAGCATGGTGATCAGTGGGGCTGAAGAGGAAGAAGGAGAGGATGGAAGGAAGGAAAAGGAAGAATACAGGAGGCAGGGGCACATGCATTGAGTCAGGTTTTGTGCTGTTGAGTCAGACCTGGTCCTTTGAGGGTGAGAAAATCCAACAAGCCCACGGTAGGAGCCAGGTGTGACTATTTGAAAGGGATGAAGTGGAAATGACTTCTCCCAAATACAGACTCTAAAATTAGGGACCAATGTAGCCCTGAAAACTTTGGAAGGCAAACTGACCAGGGAGCCAGAGACCTTGGTGGTGTAAGCTTGTTCATGAACTTGACCAGGTCATTTACTCCCCGGGATGGGGTGTTGAGAGAAGCACTTGTGAGCTGAAGAGTGAAATTGCTGTGTGGATGTTGAAGTTCTATCTGAAGGTAGCGGCTGGACATGGGGAGCCAGGAGTTGGGGTCAAAGTCCAGATGACCCTTCACTGAGCTGCAGCCCCTGGGACCTGCCCAGTCTGAAGATCCTCTGTCCTGCTGCCTTTTTTTTCCAAATACCCGTTTTTCTTATGATAAATGTAATATATATGCTCCTCATAGAAAATATGAAAAACATAAAAAGTTATAGAGAAATGAATAACAGGTATTAAAATGTTGATGTATTCTCCTTTGGCTTTTTGCTTTGCCTAGATCAAGCTAGCTGGCTACTTAAATATATTTTAATATTGCACAATTAGGATCTTAATATGTCTGTAGTTATGTATTTTTAATTTAACACTAGATCAGGACAATCTTTCAATATCATTGCAGATGCTTCCAAAATATAACAGGTGTGAAATATGAAAAACATAAAAAGTTATAGAGAAATGAATAACAGGTATTAAAATGTTGATGTATTCTCCTTTGGCTTTTTGCTTTGCCTAGATCAAGCTAGCTGGCTACTTAAATATATTTTAATATTGCACAATTAGGATCTTAATATGTCTGTAGTTATGTATTTTTAATTTAACATTAGATCAGGACAATCTTTCAATATCATTACAGATGCTTCCAAAATATAACAGGTGTGATAGTAGTATCATATATATTGAGCATTTATTATCAACATGTGGCAAGCTGCTTCTAAGCTCTTATGGCTATAATTTCATTTCATCTTTATAAAAATTCTATGAAGTGGATAGCATAATTGTCCTCCTTTTACAGATGAGGAAAATGAGGCCCAGAGAGGTTGTGTGACATGCCTGATGTCACACAGCTAGTAAGGCAAAGAGCTGGGATTCAACCCCAGGTTAGTTGGCCTGGAAAGCCCATTATAGCCATGACAACACAGGGATTGCCGTGGCTCTGGGGCATTCCCTCGTCAGACTGTGCGGACTTTACGCATCAGCTCTCTTGTTTGGCAGTTCCCAAGTTTTCTCTTCTGTAAACAGATGCCAAGATGAATATCTCTGCCTATTCCCTCTCCTCCAGTCTGAAGGCCTCCTCCACTCGTTTGTTTTTCCGTGGGCCAAACGGTCTCCCACAGCTTCAGCTCCCCAGGTGTGGTTCTACACGTTGTCCAAACTTCTGGAGTGAAACAAATCTGAAAGAGTATTCCTTTTCCTATTAAGTTACTCAGTGGGGAAGGAATTAGGCAGAGGAAATCGTTAGGGGAGTCATTCAGAACTCTTTGCTATAAGATTAAATTATAATTATTTACAGGGCTGGTATCGCTGCTGCCAGACAGGATGCATTTCTTGTTCTAATTTATCCTTGCATAGCAATTATGGATAAACAAACTTGGAGGCGCAAGATGTATGTGCAAAGAGCCCAGGCTCTCCCCTGCCCATTCTTTGATGGATCCCTGAATTCTTGTGAACGTGCAGCGCAGCTGATTTACAAGTGCTCTTCTCTTATCAGCTCACATTAAGATGGTAGGATGTTCTCTTGAGTTCTGCACCAAGGTCTAGAAAGACAGCAGATCCTGTTAGAAAAGATGGATTTGAACAACTCACCTGGTGAGAAGACAGAGACACCTGTGAGAGAGAAGTCCGCTCCCTCCCTCCCTGGTAGTAAGTCCCACTGGTTTGGAAGGGCGGGAGGGGTGGTATGGAATGTCCTGACTCAGTTTTCACAGGCCTCTCCTCCCCCAGGTGGGACAACAGGAGAGTTTTGATTAGGGTTCAGATTGTTTAAATTTCATGGACCAGTAAAATTTCCAAACAGTTAGGGAAGCAAAGGGTTGGTAATTTTTTATTTTGCCAAGTAAGGATGTTAGAGAAAAACTTGCCAACTCCTTAGAACATGATTTCATAAAACATAGGACAATCCAAAGCCAAAAATGTGGCTCCATTGGGAGCCTTGTGCTGACAGTGAAAGACGAAGTTGGAGTAGAGCTCACCTGAGTGAAAGATGGAGTTGGAGGAGAGCTCACTGTGTGTCCATAGTGACACGCATGTGATACGTATCCATCAGTGGATTGCCACTCGCTCCCTTTTTGGAATTCTTGGCTGACCTTTGGGAATCTGATAGTATATGTTTGGAATAGGAATGGCTGCTATGGTGAGCACTGAACCTTGTAACTGACATGTTGAGAGATTCCCAAATCTTTTACACTTATTCTCCTTTATGTTAGTTGCTTTTTTTGGTGACTGACCATAAGCAAAAGCTGGGTTTGAATTGACTGAGAGTTACAATCCAGACAGTATATTTGGTGTTATTTCCTTACTACACATACACAGCCAAATCAGCCCTGACACACACCCTCTTCCAAGGCCCTGCCATCATATACTCATCACTAAGTCAAACTCCCTACGCATACGTACTTCTGTCTCTATTCACTGAACTGAGTTCAGGGGCCAGATTTTCTCTCACTGATTCTTCTCAGGGTGGTGGGTCTTTGTTCTGCTCTGACCCATTAAGTTGGCTATGACCTTCATGGAGCCCCATTCTTCCCATCAAATTCTAGGAAAATATTCCAGCTCATTCCTCATGAGACCTCTGGACTCTTCAGAGGCTGAGACTGAGGGATGCAGAGTCCCCTTTAAACCCAGTTCTGGGTCCCTAGAACCTGAAGGTTCCTGGAGGGTATCAGGATTGTGTTATTGTAACGAGTAGAATTGATCGCCGGCCTACTTCAGAGCCAGCCTCTCCACAGTGGAGAAAATCCGTGAAAGGAAGTCCACTGAGAAGCCATTAGTACCAGAATCCCCTCACCCCTTTCTTTGCCTCATGCTAGGCACTCTCCTTCCTCTAGGCTTCAAGGAAGGAGAGAAAGCCAGACATCC